GTAACATTCATTGAGAACACTGACTGTTTTAAATGCATACCTTTCTGGACCCAAATGACTACCAGCAATGCCAAACTGCAAAAATATATTTAAAGCTTCAGTTGTCAAACACTTCCACTGAAACAACAAGGAAACCTGGCATGTGCTGTGCATCTGTGTCATTTCTTCAGCTATTAACGCTGTTTGTAATCTGCTGAGGCCTTTTATTTCCCTGAGATAACATTCTGCCTGGTCTGGAGCGCTGCTGTGAATTGCAGTGTAAGCAGTCATGTTGGGAGCTCCTGGCTGCCCTCTTCGCTTTCACTCTAACTTCACTGAAGCCAGGAGCGAAACAACAAAGCCAGCCCTGTGGTGGAGACTGTACTAAGAAAGCAACATTTTGCTCAACCGCACTCGGTTCTTAATCCCATGGTCCTAGAAATACAATGGCATTATCTCGTTAATGCCAGCAACACGTTAGTTCAGCATATCCAGCGAGCCTGGCAAACACATTCCCTTGTTAGTGAGTCGCTCCGCAGACATGAATTTGACTTTTAATCAAACATTTAAACACCTTCGGTGCATCTACTCTCTTAAGAGCATCATGTAACATTGGACAAAAAATGTTATGCAATGAATTGTGCTGAAAAGAGAGAAGGAAAGGCTGTTTTAACAGGATTCAGGGACAAGAAACAAAGTGATGAATGGCTTGCTGCAGCTGTATTTGCCATGGGAGATAAGAAGTGCTGTGCAATGAGACAGATTTCAGAGCCCTTCCCTTGCTACAGGCCTCACACAGCAGCTGACTGGTATTCATGTAAAAACATTTTGAACACGGTACATTGCAGCTACCTGGTCAATCTTGTTCTTGAAAACGCATTTTCCCTGTTCATAGATATTTTAAGTTTTGTCCAAAGAGAGCACTGAACTCGGCTCTTTAAAGGTACAATCCGGATGTATGATACAGCAGTGGTATACTCTGATACCAACTGGCCCTAGCCTTATAAAAACAGATTGGTTAAGAATAAATTTAAAAGATTGCATTGCCAGCTTTCACCATTCAGAGTTACTCTCCCACTCCAGCCACAAGCCCTTGACCAACTATAGACTGTGTTGTTTTATTGAACCACCACTAATTTGTATCAGTTAAGTTAAAACAAAAGACACTGTAACATTTCCCCGTTTCTAGAACCCAATGATAATGGTTGTCATCCAAAAACATGAGGTTCAATGAGGACTGTCCACCTGTATGTTGTATCCAAGAAACCCCTGAAGCATGTCTTCATTGAAGCCAGGAAGCTACCACAAGGTTTGTTCCAGGCCAGGTCCACACCTCCACAACCCCTTTGTAAAAAATTGTCAATCATCGAAACAAACAACCGAGAAGAAATGACATGCAGTATGGGGTAGAGCACAGTTGTGACGGGTGTGGAAAACTGCAGCCGGCGAGGCGCAGACACTAGAGGCTGCTGTTAGACAGTGTTCAGAGTAACACAGTGTTGTGTGAAGGAAATGCCCACATGAGCACGAGGAATTCTCAAATGAGAGAGATTATCGGGCTCATGCCGGCTAATGGCTCATAGCTGGCAAAAGGACAGGTAGGACCCTTTACAAGCCGAACAGCTCAGAGTTCCAGCAGACTGCTTCAGGCTTAACGCATTACTCAGAATTGCTTGTGGAAAATCCAATGAAAAGAAGATCCTTGGTAAAGGATTGTGAACTCGTGGATGCTCTTGCTTTTAGCTAGCTAAAGACAGAAAGGTGTGGCCCCTTTCTTAGCTCCTTAGCTATATTAGAGACAGATTTCCCAGAGTTCTGCTGGTTCCCTGAATACTAGAGTACTTAATTGGCCACAATACTTAGATACAATACTGTAACAAAGGTATAGGCTCGGTAAGGTGTAGTGAAGCAGAGTTAAACCACAGCACAGGGATAGGAAAGCATAGAAATGCATGGCAGGACATGATACAGTAAGAACTGAAGGAAACCTCGACAGAATAATTTAAATATAACCCCATCAAAACCATGGGGAACTGAACAATTGCTGTGTAGGTTTACAGTGATTCATAAGTGATACTGTGTAGTTTTTTAGAGCAGTGATCATGGTTCCAAAGTCCTTCTCAGTTCTGCAGGCACATCCAATGACTGAGGATATGTTTAGTGTTTCATAGCCCCTGTCTGAATATGTCACTTCTCAGTTGTCCTTATTGAAAAACAAACGCTGACACTGGACATGAAACTGGTTTATTCAGTATACAGTACTGTATATATCGTGAAACACAAACCAGAGAGCACAAGTAAACTACAGGGAAGCGCATTTAGAAGCAGGAAGAGGAGTCATTTCTTTACCCAAAGCATTATGAGAACATGTTCCCCAGCCATGTTGTTGAAGGCAATTTCTTGTCTGCTCAAGATAGTCATCCTTATGTTCTTCACATTCCTTGATCCATGAAGTTTACTGGCTTTGCCACAGCAGAAAAAAAAGCTGAATCTCACCTGACTGGCAGAAAGACAATGTAACACAGATGGTTTTGCATTGTCAGACAGATAGTGGGAAAAGAGGGGCTTCCACACGGGTCCGTTAGGAAAAGCTGCTCGTGCAGGTCTCTGGTGAATCCCACAATGCCCGGGTGATCCCGGGACCTGGGATTCCCCAAGTGACGGAGCTAGGAAGAGTTAGGAAGAGCTGGACCCTCTGGTGTCCAGCAGTGTCTGCGGAGCTCGCAGAGTGCTGACAGCTGAAGGAGCCTCCAAGTGTGCGAGTCGGAGGAGCCCGTCTGCGCTTCCTCCTCCTCCTCCCTGTGTGGAACACGGGCCGCGACAGTGAGCTGACAAGTCGAGACATAACCGGGCTTCCGAATTGCTTATAAAAATCCCTCCATCCATCTTCTAACTGCTCTATCCACTACAGGGTCATGGGGAGCCAGATGTGATTATGACAAAATAATTTACAGTTCTGAATTACTAAAAAGGAAAACGTGAACGTGCTGTAGAAGACAAATCAGTGTTTGTCCAAACAGGCAAGCACAGAAACCTTCTTGGCATCTCTCAATTACTTTGCATGTACTGAATATGATGGCCAAGTAATCTACACCAAAAAATGCCTGCCATAAACTGCTGTCTGTACTGGAAATTAGTTTCTAATCGCTGAACAAGCACATTAAATTGCGGAACTTTGAAGTGTTCTCATCACTTCTAAGTGAATTTATAAGTTATTTAAGAAATGGATTACAATGCACTTTTTTGGTTGCTTGTCCTATTTCTGAACATCCTTTTTTCTTGTGGAAAGTTGCCAGTTTCTGAGTTTCTGACAAAACTCCACTTCTAGTGCTGTTGTCATGTCTGTATTTTAAAGCCATCTTGCTGTGCATGACAAAACAGAGGGTCTTCGTGAGTGGTCTCCCTTGCAGGAACAGGCTGTGATTTTATACTCCCAGTGGGGTACAGGTGTGAAATACCTTGCCATGTTGAAGACTGAGCCCCTATTGACTTTACCCCTGTCAACACAACTAATGGTAGTCTATTTTAATGGCCTGTGGTTTTAACACTTTAAAGTATAGAGCATTTTTTTCTTTAATTTGACCTTGAAAGTCAATTGAGAAAATAATTCATTTACAACAACTTGGAAACCGGGGAAGGCAGAAATTGCTGAACTAGGGTCTCTGTCTTCAAGCCATTCATTAGGCCTCCCCTTCATTAACAAAGAGAGCTGAAATCTGCTGTAAGTGCATTAGGGTGCAGTTAAACTTTGGAGTTTACAGTGTAGACCTAGCCATGAACTGTACAAAGGATCCTCCTGGGTAACATTCCACACCTACAATATGTTAATAATAATAATTCCCTATTACACTTATTAAACACTTTTCTCAACACTCCACTCAAAGCGCTTTACAGGTAATGGGGACTCCCCACCACCAGTGTGCAGCCCCACCTGGATGATGTGACGGCAGCCATAGCGCTCTAGTACACTCACCACACATCAGCTATCAGTGGGGAGGAGAGCAGAGTGATGAAGCCAGTTCATAGATGGGGATTATTAGCAGGCCATGACTGGTAAGGGCCAATGTGAAATTTGGCCAGGACACTGGGGTTACACCCCTACTCTTTTCGAGAAACGCCCTGGGATTTTTAATGACCACAGAGAGTCAGGACCTCAGTTTTACGTGTCAAATGAAGGACGGCACCTGTTTACAGTATAGTGTCCCCATCACTATACTGGGGCATTAGGACCCACGTGGACCACAGGGTGAGCGCCCTCTGCTGGCCCCACTAACACCTCTTCCAGCAGCAACCTTAGTTTTTCCCAGGAGATCTCCCACCCAGGTACTGACCAGGGTCACACCTGCTGAGCTCCACTGGGCTGCTAGATGTGAGTTGCAGAGTGATATGGCTGCTGTCTATGTTGCCTGGATTAGACAACAAACCGCACAGGAGTAAAAACCATTCCACTACACCTGCCTGTCTAATAATTTACATAACAACTGCTTCATTGCTGTATTTATTTTGGCTCATGAACACAGTTTGAGCATCACAGTCCCGTGGAAAAGCAAAACAGCATTTGTAACGATTAGTGCAGTTGTGCCATCTAGTGGAATTCAGGCCAACTGCTGGCCAAACATTTTCAATTCACAACCATTATATTCATTATTCCACGTTAATAATAATAATTAATAATAATTGCTTACACTTATATAGCGCTTTTCTGGACACTCCACTCAAAGCGCTTTACAGGTAATGGGGTCTCCCCTCCACCACCACCAATGTGCAGCATCCACCTGGATGATGCGACGGCAGCCATAGTGCGCCAGAACGCTCCCCACACATCAACTATCAGTGGGGAGGAGAGCAGAGTAATGTAGCCAGTTCATAGAGGGGGATTATTAGGAGGCCATGACTGGTAAGGGCCAATGGGAAATTTGGCCAGGACGCCGGGGTTACACCCCTACTCTTTTCGAGAAACGCCCTGGGATTTTTAATGACCACAGAGAGTCAGGACCTTGGTTTTAGGTCTCATCCGAAGGACAGCGCCTGTTTTACAGTATAGTGTCCCCGTCACTATACTGGGGCATTAGGACCCAGTATAGTGACATTCATGACTTCAGGAAGTGGAAGCACTGTCAACATTAAATAAGAGCTGCTATTTTCGCATTATCATTCTATACAGGGATGAGAATAGCTGCACTTTTGTTTCTTAAAGAACATAAGAAAATAAACGTAAAACTTATGGAATTTTAGTCAACTTTTCAGTACTTTGCACATGGCACTGTATGAGACAGCTAATTTGTTGAAGTGTCTTTAAGGCATCTTAAAGTAAATCGTAATGCATATTTGAACAACTCTGGATAATTTTCTGCCCTCGTACTATATAAGTACTACTGTATGTGTGGCGCACATGGGAGCTGAACAGCTGTCTGTTCCAACCGTAACTCAGAGGCAGTGCAAGGTCTTTTTGATGTGGTAACATCCTAGGTTCCCGAATGCATTAAGGCTACAGCTTTCTGAGGTGCTAGACAATAGTGTTCCCTTAAGATGTATACCTTTTTGCTCTAAAAATGGAGAGTAGAAATATAATTCAAAATAAGCTGAAAGAAAAGGTTACACACTTTCCATTTAGATCAACAGCAGTTTTCTCATATAAGTATTTAAATACAAGTGTTGTAAATCTGTTACAAACGTAAGTCTTACACATCTTTCTCCTTGCCATGGAAATTAAGCATAAAGGCTACATCAAAAGCTAATTTTATGTTCCATTTCCCTGCACCTTGACCTCTCCCTCACATTTTCCTCATTGCTGCGGTATCTGAGAAATGCAGAAGTTCTGAAAATCTTCCAGCTTGTATGATACATACTGTATTGTCAAGGCAGTCGCTGTCTATCCCCCAGAGCTTCCTCAAAAAAACTGTATCAGCGCTAACAAGCTGATCCTGGTCTGCAGTGCCTCACAATGCAGCCTGTGCTGGAGCACCGATTTCTTCCGAGTGGGGATTTTCCTGGTGCGTCTCCGGAATATTTGTGCACTGTGTGAACCACTGGGAGAACTAGGGAAACGGCAGAGCTTTACTGCTGTAGATCCACAGCCAACATGCCGTTCTTTACTGCCAAGCAGAAAAAGAAGAAAAAAGGGCGAAAGGGTAAGTGTAAGCAATCTCCTTCTCTTACACGTGGTATTTCATGTCCATGAAAACGACCACTGGCAGTGTTGTCTGGGAGGCTGTGGACTCGGCAGAGATGGGGAATCTATCCCAAACGCCAGGAGAGATTGGAATTGAAACTCGCTGACTATCTGTTTCGCTGATTTTTTTTCTCATCTAAATCATCCAAGAAAATGCAACACAGAAAGCAAGCTTATACAGTAAAATGCATGTAGTTTAAATAAATGTATGATGTCACACCCATGGGCTATATATTCAGCACATTTACTAGAACTGGTACCTGATAATTATATGATTGAGGTATTATTCAGTGTGCTTTAGAGGTGATGTCTGTGCCACAGTCCATCTGTGTGTCTGCGTCTGTTTACATACTGTACTGTACTTTGTGCGGAAAATATGTGATTAATGGAAAATTGAAATTCACAGGGGGGTCCTTCTGCAGTTTAGATAGACAAACAATACCCAGTAAAACATTTTTTAAAAATAAAGAAATTTGATCAATTTAGTCAGAAAGGACTTGTTTGAGGCAATAGAATTTCTGCTCTCCATTAAATTAGTAGAGATTAGTAGAAGTGTAGTTCTAGACCAGGCTGGGGATTTAGCACTGTGGTGATGTTTGTCCTTCTTAGGGTTCAGTTCTGGTCCAGATGGGTGATTTAGCACTGTGGTGATGTTTGTCCTTGTTAGGGTTCAGTTCTGGTCCAGATGGGTGATTTAACACTGTGGTGATGATTGTCCTGGTAGGGTTCAGCCCAGAACTGAACTGGGCTGATGATTTAACAGTGTGGAGATGATTATTCTCGTTAAGGTTCAGTTCTGGACCAGGCTGGTGAATTAGCACTGTGGTAAGGATTGTTCTCGTTAGGGTTCTCTTCTGGTCCAGATGGGTGATTTAACAATGCGATGATGATTGTCCTTGTTAGGGTTCAGTTCTGGTTCAGATTGGTGATTTAAAACTGCGATAATGATAGTCCTTGTTCGAGTACACTTCCAGGCCGGACTAATTATTTAACGCCGTGGAGATGATTATTCTCATTAGGGTTCAGTTCCAGGGTGGACTGGTGATTTAGCACGGTGGTGATGATTATTCTCGTTAAGGTTCATTTCCAGGCTGGACTGGTGATTTAGCACGGTGGTGAGGATTGTTCTCGTTAGGGTTCAGTTCCAGGCTGGACTGGTGATTTAGCAC